GGACTCAAGATGTAAGCAAGCCTCTGTTGATTTAGATTAGAGATCGTTGCTGGTACATGTGCTAGTTCTATTCATCGCAACCTCGTGGACTCTAGATCTATTTAGATTAGAGATCGTTTCTTGTACATGAGCTAGTTCTATTCATCAGAACCTCGTGGACTCTAGATGTAAGCAAGCCTCTGTTGATTTAGATTAGAGATCGTTTCTAGTAATATATAGATTTATTCATCTGAACTTAATCTACGGTCACATTAGTTCACTACTTTCTTGTCAACTTCGAAAATCGGACGCCAGTCTTTAGGCTCTGCATTACGAGCTGCAAGCCTATGTCAGAAGCCTTGAGAATCTTGGCTTTTCTCAGACAACATATGGAGTCATCCTCACTCCACTAATCCTTCATCGGTTTCCTTCAGAAATTCGTCTGGAGTGGGCTAGAGTTGGTGAGGGAAAAGAAAGAGATCTTGCTTTCCTGGGCGATGAGATTAGGGGGCAAGAAAGAGAACATCATCACCTCGTTCCCTCTGGCAAAGCATCCTCAACAAGAGCCGAATTCTCTTCACGAGAGAGGACAAGAAGAAAACACACAGGAGCAGCTCTGTCCATCAACACTGGGTCTAGTAACTCAACTTCATCACAAGCTCATGACTGAAAATTTAAGTGTGTGTTTTGCAACAAGGATCATTCTACTCGTAGTGTCCTCAACTTGTGAGCTTGAATGTACAGCAGAGAAAGAATAAACTGAGAAGTCTCACAAGTTGTTTTATCCGTCTCAGCAGACATCATATCGCCAAGGATTGCCAGAGATACTGCGGTTTGTGTCATGGAAAGTATCACAGACTCCCCTGAAAACGTATCAATCGTACAAGCACAGCAATGGAAAACAAGACTCAGAATCAGGTTACTTCTTCTCAAGAGAAATTTGGATCTACTGGGGTCTTCAATTAAGCGTATTCGCTAACTTTGGGAACTGCACCTCTCATGCAAACCTTTCATCGTGAAGTGGGAGGCCGTCGAGTGTTTATCCTTTTTTACAGTGGCGCCGATAGGTCGCTTATCACAAAACGTTTAGCACGTGAGTTAAATCTTGGACCGGTAGGTCGAGAGTCAGTCTCATTTTCTTGTTTTGGGGGTGAAAAAGCCGGCAGGCAAAGAAAGCCCTCGTAATATTTACAAGTTGACTCTTGGCACACCGACTCCAGATCTACATTTGATTGAAATTGATTCCATTTGTTCTCCAATGTTCAGACGGAGGATTCCGAATGAGCACTTGGGAGTGTTTGTTGACTTACGTTTTTCTGAGAAATTTTCAGCTGATTATCCTATCAAGATTGAAATCCTGATTGGAATCGACCACTATTGGCACTTCATGAGACCTAATTTTATTCATTCTTCTGTTGAGTTGGTGGCGCAGGAGACCTCCTTGGGAGGGTGGATTTTGTCTGGAACCTGGCCTAGTGCCCACCCAAACAAGGAATGTTATCAATTTCTGTGTCATACTCATACTAACACTTTTCTTTCGGATAGCCTTGTCAGGAAGTTCTGGGAACTGGAAGCTGTTGGGGTTACGGATCTTCCTGAAAGGACAGATGACACTGTACTCGCAGAGTGGTAGATACATTGTAAGTCTGCCTTGGAAATCGTTGGTGCATGCTCTCTCTCTCATGTGTGGCTCGTTGGTACATGCTCTCACTCTCATGTGTGGCTCGTTGGTACATGCTCTCACTCTCATGTGTGGCTCATTGGTACATGCTCTCACTCTCATGTGTTGCTCGTTGGTACATGCTCTCACTTTCATGTGTGGCTCGTTGGTACATGCTCTCACTCTCATGTGTGGCTCATTGGTACATGCTTTCACTCTCATGTGTTGCTCGTTGGTACATGCTCTCACTTTCATGTGTGGCTCGTTGGTACATGCTCTCATTAGTGGCTCGTTGGTACATGCTCTCGTATGTGGTTCGTTGGTATATGCTCTCACTCTCATGTGTGTCCCCTTTCTCCCTCCATCTCTCTCAATCTCTTTCAATCTCTCTCTCTCTCTCTCTCTCTCTCTCTCTCTCTCTCTCTCTCTCTCTCTTTCGCTTTATCACAGGTGTGAAAATAAGTCACAACTTCTTTGGAGCATAAAAGGATTCAAGATATGAAGTGAGGGAAATAGTAATAAAGCATTCTACATCCCCTATGTTTATCGCTCAGGCAAAGCTTTAGTCGTTGTTGATATCGATTGGCAGCTTAGAAAGAAAACTACAGTACA